TTTTTTTTTTTTTTTTTTTTTTTCAAGACGGCTGCGCCGCCCTCTGCTGCAGTGCAATACAAAGGCAACCTTCTTCTTTCAATATATGAACGCGTTCGAAAGGTCCATTCTGCAAAGCAAGTGTTAAAACCCGTGCTTGTTTTTTCCCCCCCCCTCTTTTTTCCTTTTTTTCCCCTTTTTTTTCCCTTTTTTTCCCTTTTCTTATCTTTCTCTTTTTTTCCTTTCATTTCTTTTATTCTTTTTTTTCTTTTTCTTTTTTTTCCTTTTCTTTCTTTTTCCTTTTTTTTCAATCTAATGAACGCGTTCGAAAGCAACGTGGCCATTATTTGCTTGTCACTATACTCTATATTATATTTTAGAAGGGTTAAAAAAAACGAGCCCTCACCGGCTTACTGAAGTTGCGCCTGATCATTAACACCCCGTCATAACCCGAGACAGAACGCCTGGTCATTAACACCCCGTATCTAGACTGGAAGTTGCGCCAACTACCGCTATAATGACTAGGTGTTCTATTCGCGTGACCACGGTTCTTCTTCGTTTCTCATCAGTTGATTGATTCGCGCAATTGACCGATCAGGGGATCGAAGATCAGACACTTAGAACACCGCGCACACCCAAACCAGCGCTAACCTTTTTTTTTTTTTTTTAAATAAAGACGGGAAAATAAAGAGCACCAAAAAAACAAGCTGACGACACGTAATCCCTGCCACAGCAGTTGGATTGGGAACGGCCAAGGGGGGGGAAAAAAAAAAAAAAAAAGTTATGTGCGATTGTCGACCTGGCATGGCTTCATCTAGCTCTTTCTTTTTTTTCTTTTTTTTTTTCTGTGAACCGAGGGAGGGAGGGGGAGAGAAAGACGGGAGCCGAAATATCTCGACACACAGGCCGCACATCGCTCATAACAGATTAGATTTTTCCCCCGAATAGAGCGCATGGAACACATCACACAATGATATAATAATTATATAATTATTATTTGCATCGAAAAAACTGGAATATCTGGGATATGCCTCCTGTGCGTTCTATTCGGAGATGAAGGTAGGCTATGCATGACAGCTCCCCGTAAACATTCATAATTTGAAATTAAACAAAAAAAAAAAAACGGAGCTGGGATGGCAGTTCTCGACTAATCAGAATGTGATCATGACGTGAAAATGTACATTTGCAAATCGGGAGAATGGAGCGGGGGGGGAGAGGGGGAGAACGGGGGGAAGATGCGCGGAAAGAGACGAGACGCGGGGCGAAAAAATAGCAACCGCCAAATGCAGACTCTCTCAACACCAATCGAAATGATAAGGTCACTCATCAACTTTCTCATCAACTTTTAAAGTTTAAATATAAAATAAATAAAAATAATAATAATTTAAAAAAAAAAGAACATGAAGAGGAAGAAGAAGAAGAAGAAGAAGATCCATCACCTTATCCATTAACATATCCATCAATTAATCGCATCTAAAACATAGATCGGGGGAAAAAAAAAAAAAAAAAAAAAAGAGCTAAAACTAGCTTCCATTCAAACTAGATTTGGTTCCAAAATTCTCAAAATGATTTTTTTTTTACGGAAATGACTAGTACTGTAGTACTGTATTAATCGATTGCCAGCCTTACGATCAATTAATCGTGCATGCGCGCGGATCACTTCCTGTTACACGTGGCGACGTGGCCACGTGGCAAGCGCAATCTCGCCAAATAACTGCCACGTGGCACGTGACCACGTGTCAAGCAA